CCTAATGCATGAGCTTAATGGGCTCCAGGAACAAGATTTCCAGCAGTGCCATGAGCTATTCAGGGGGACTTTGCATCTGGCAAGTGTATTATTTTTAGCTGGGTACTATTCCAACATACAGAGCCTTTAATTTAGGTGCAATGATGCATTTGTAGAGAAGGTTCCAATAAGACTTAGGCTACAGTTCAAAAGTCCTTTAAAAAAAAAAGATTATCTTCATGCACTCCTTGTGACAATGACAATACCATATGCTTGTGTCTTTAGCCTCCTAGCTGTTACCTATCTGGTTTGGAAAGACAGCTTCACCTTGTGGATTCAATTGTGCAAAGTCCAAGGGAAGTCTGCAAAAATAAGCTCAATACTCTGAGAAATATTGTAAGGAAAAGAAAACATTTTCATCTGAATGTAATTAGTAAAGTATCTTAAAGTTTGCTCTGAGGACAGAAAGAAGGAATAGGATAATGGACCGAGCATCTGTGTATCTGGAAGCTGCATCTTCATTATTGTGAGGCCCACTGAATCCTATAAACACAAATTCAGTAGGCAGGGTATTGTCCCAATCCAGATATATTTGATATAAAAACAAAGGCAGCCTTGCAAAATGGTTCAATCCAAGCTTATTAGGGAATCAGTCTTGAGTTAAAATGGTCTTCAAACTAGGAAAAAAGAGAAAAATTTATACCAAATAAATGACATCAACAAAAAATGTCTACTTTGTGCTGTATTCTCTTAGAGGGTACCACTTATAGGTCAGAAAAATGATTCACACTTGTAGGAAATACCATAATGCCTTTCCTCGATGGAGTCAGACTAGTAAAATCTCCAAGAGCCAGGCCAGGGGGTGGCTCTACGCCAGACTCGTTCCTAGGCTGGTTAGTTGTTTGTATACTCTGTTTTCACCCAAGGGCCACACGTATTTAAATGGCACTTCCTTTAGTCACCAAACTGCAGTATCAGATATTGTCTGGTGATCCCTTGATTGAGATTTTGCTCCCCCTCGTTCCAGCCAACACTTCTTGACTTTAAAACTTTCTTTTTCCCTCAGTATAAGTAGCACTTTGAAGAAACTAATTTACTTTAAAGAGAGTTTTCTAAAATTTTCTTTTTATTCTCATCATACCCAATCTGCTACCCAGTCATCTCTCTTTAAAAAAAAAAAAGTCTTATGTGTCCTGTGAATTCTTTAATTCCCACCTCATTCATGGTGTCTTGATTATTTTTCTCTCGATGAGACAAAACACCCAACATCCAAAATGAAGGAAGGAAACGTTTATTTAGCTCACTGTTTGTGGAGGTTTCAGTCCATGCTCAGCTGGCTCCAAGGCAAGGTGGTATGGCACTGGAGCAACAATTCAAGACACCAGCCAGAGGAAAAGGGGGAAACAAGCCTCTTCTCCTCCCTAATATTGTACACAGGTCACCCCCCCCCCTCCTTCCAGGAGGAGTGTAGCACTCACAAAATCGCCTTACTCTCCTTGGACAGGATGAGGATGTTTACAAAGAACCCTGGCTCCCTGCTTCCTCTCTCAGTTAAAACTTCTAAACTTCTCAAGTTGACACAATGTATCAGCCATTGCAAATGCAAATTGTTTCCTCTTACCCAGCTCTTGAAACTCCCACTTGTTACTGACAACCACTCTCTCCCTTCTGCATGCCTCAGTATTAAAACACTAAGTCATCTTAAAGTAGCAGTTTGGTCACTGGGCTGTCTTTCATTTTTATTCCCTTCTGTGCTCCACTCCCTGGGCAGTGAAGTTAACTTCTGCGGACAGCGTGGGCCACTCAAGATGTGCCTTCACTTCTCTCTGAGTTTCCTAATGAGTTACCACCAGGGAATTGGAAGTAGGACATCCAGGAACATCATTTATCCTGCCTCCCACATGGCAGCAGGAGGTTTTGGAGGTAGCTATTTTTCGCAAAGCACAGGACACAGCCTCTGGAGCATGACAGGCTGTGACAATGGCTTCCTTCCTGCTGGGACCCTCACTGTTTCCTGGGACTCCCTCAGGTCTACCACTGCTAGCCTTGGAGCAGTTTCCCTAGTCCCTGCCCATCTCTGCAAACAGTCTCCTCATTCAATTCTCTTCGATTAGACATTAGCAGTTATGATTAGACAGATGATCTTCTTTGCATCTGTGAGTAGACTGGATGCACCTGCCCATCTAAGGTGGCTCATGCATAGCCCTGTGCTCAGCACTTGGAATTCTGCACAGAAATAAAGGAACTTCATACTGTTGCCAGTGGAGTTAACTCATAGAGCTGGGATAAAAGAATACCCGCTTTCAGCCCAACTCTTCAGAAGATTTGATCACAGCTCCTCCTAGGAGTTTTAAGAGGCACTGTTATATCTGCTCTAAGTGTTCCCCTGTGCTGGGGAAATGTATTTCTTTAATCAAAAAGGAACTACTATATCTTTCTCCTGAAACACCAGCATGCATTCTTCACTGCAAACCTGTAACACAAGGTCTCCAAAATGGTTTGCAAACCTCAGAAAGTGCACGCCTCAGAAGTAGCACGGAAAAGTCATTAGGTATTTATTTGCTGTCAGAGTCATTTAAGATAAAGTTATTGTAATATTCATATGCAAGTAAACATCAGTGCCCTCCCTCAAGCCTGCAAGTCAGGGGGTCCTCTAGAGAACCCAACTATGCTAAGGGAGGAAAACTGACAGTGATAATCTTCCTCCTTCTGTACTTTTTAGAAAGGCTAAATGCTGTGATAATACTTTCAATGTGTTTACTTAGCTTGGTTTAAATGCTTAGCTACAGGCTGATGACATTACAATGGCATGAGAAAGGCTACAACCACCATCCTGTTTAACATCCAGAGATTCATTTCTTTATCTCATGGCATAGGACTTAAGTATGCTGTCACAGTTAAAGAGAAAGTAAGCATTTTTCTTTTAAAAGGATAAGTGGCCAAGTATTCTGCATTTTTAGTGATAAAAAGTTGCTTTTAACAGTGTATTGTCTGACAGATGTTGAAGAATACACAACCTTTACGCTGAAAATCTTTTTATAAAAAAATAGAATTCCATTTCATTTTCAAAGAAGTTCTTTTGAATTTGTATGTTTGTTAAAGTTTCTGTCAGTGCATTTCATTGCAAAAGTATAGCATTTAAACAAACTTTTACACATGTAAGTTAAAAACTAAAAATAATCAGTTTTGTTTTTCTAAATTGGCCTTTGAGCCATTTGCATAAAATATAAAAATGAGACATCTTTGGAATGAGTTAAAAATGACCTAATGACATTAGTTAGGTTAGAAAATGAGTCGCTAAATTTCAGCTGAACAAATTTTCATTGCTGGGAAGGAGAAATATGCATCATAATTATCCGCAGCCAGTTATGGACTTCTCTGGTTGGCTCTGTATATCTTTCTCTGCCATTCCTTTCAAATTCAAGTACGATGATATATTGAATTGAGGACCACAACTTCAAAGTATTATTCAAAACTGTGAGTCAAAAATTATTTCTTAATGCATGAAAAACTTGTACTAATGTTTACCAAGAGTCAAAGAGGCTTGGAGCATAACTAATAAAATTATATATAGTAATTTAAAGTATTTCCTTACTTACATGTTATACTTAATTTTACAAATATGTATAAACATAAGCATATAACTGTAGTAGTGGATCCATCTGGTTTATAAATGCATTTTATATATATATATATAATTATATCATAGTTTATTGTACATATTATATATTATTTTAAATTTTCATACAGCATGCCTTAATGAATATATACTTACTTAGAAATGTGTATTTTAGTGTATATCATATATAATAATTTTTAGTCTATGCATATTAGTAAATATGTATTGTTTATTACATTAATTAGTTATGCAAATTCATCTCTACTTGCGGCCTTTTTTTTTTTTAACTGTGAAGTAAATGGGATCAAAATACTCATTAAAATCTCAGCAGTGGTGATGGAGTAGATGGAAGAGTGGAGCTGTGCTGATGATTATTGTATCTGCACTACAAAATTTACTTTTCTATTTTCTCTACTTTTGTGTAAATTTTAAATTTTCTAGTACAAAAATGTCTTAAAGCAGAATATTCTTATAATTTTAGCCATAAGTGCAACTTATAAAAGGAGGAATAATTTGAAGACTTTTCAAATAAGGAAAGAATATTTGTATGGACATTGTCGTATGAAAATACTGAAGAAGTTGCCTCTACCATGAAGATATTCTAAACTCAAACCCCTGGGCTCTTATCTCTCTAAATTCTTCTCAAAGCTGACTGATTCATTGCTCTTCAAGTCCTTAATTTCACTCATGTATCATCATATTTTATTATTTTCATGAGCGTTATAAATTGTTACTTTGATTCCTTCGCTAGTTTCTTGGAACAAGCATTAGGATCATGGATGGGTATAATCTGACTGGAAGCCACCTCTTCTTTCTTTATTTTCCCTTTCCTTAATACCTTCTGTTTAAATCCAGCTCTCCACCCCCACTGCAGGAAATGGATAGAAAATAATCTTCTCAGTCAGCTCATCTCACTTCATATCCAAGGTCAGGGATCTAAAATTTAGTAGTGTATATTTCTTGGTCCTTTCAGTCTCCTCCTCTGATGACTAATTTTATTGATAGGTGGACACATGAAACAGGCAATATAACCTTCTGTAGATAGAGTTTTGTGATCTGTGGGTAGGGTGGGGCCAGGACTGTGTTAATCAGCTTTGCATAGCTGTGACAGTATATCTAATAGGATCAACTTAAAAAGAGGAAAGGTATTTTTGGCTCATGGATTCATTGGTCTCAGTCCCTGGCTGGCTAACTGTATTGTTTTGGGGCCCATGGTGATGTAGAGCATCACAGCAGGCTCATCCGGTGCAAAAAAAGCTGCTGGCCTCCTGCAGCCAGCAAGCAAACAGAGAAAGGAAGGGGCCCAATAACTTAATGCCTTCCACTAGGTTCCAATTTCTAAATTTCTGTCACCTCCCAGGAGCATCACAGACTCGGCATCCAAGCCTCCAGCAAATGGGTGTTGGGAGCCGCAGCCCCGAGCCCGGTCGCCTTACTTGGCGGACGTGAGGCCTGTAGTAAAGAGTAAAGCCTGAGGTAGATTACCCCTCCCATCGAGCACGTTAGTTTCCTGCTTACCGCGTAAGCAACCCGCTCAACAATATAGTCTGCCTGGCAACTGATGATGTTAGCCAATCAGCTTGCCTTGCTTACTTTAACATGATTGGACACTGTATCCGTATATATACTGGTGCCACCCCTGGGGGGGAAGAAGAAGCCCGGAAGTAGAAGCCCAGAAGGAGCCGCGGGGAGCGGACCAAAGGAGGCTTCGGCTGGGAGCGATCCCAGGGCAGGCTGTACGGAGAAGGAAAATAAAAAGAAAAGGTTGTCCACTGCCAGACTTTGTCGTGTGTCCTTCCTGCCGGCCAGGAGCGACATCGACATTTGGAGGCCCGCACGGGGACTGATCACCCCCGAGACGTGACAGCGGACAACGCTCCAGTACAGAGCTGCGAGACAGGTGAGTTGGGGATAAGCCTGGGCTCTGGGTGGCGCGCACCTACAGGGCTTTTAGACTCCCCTCAGGCTCACGCGTAAGTGGCGGATTCCTTGGGCCTCACGCGGTGAGCAACATATTAAAAGATGGGAAACATGCTAGGTAGTAACATTAAGAGCGAGGGTGGTTGTGGAGAAAGCTCTCAAGAGCTTACAAAAGTACGCAGGGTATTTGAGCAGGCCCAGTCAGGGAGCTCCCGAGAGGGGCCCGTCAAGGGGAACAAAGATGCTAAGGAGAAGGACGGGGCTCTAGCCTCGGAGTCGTCTGACTCCGAGGACGAGGGAAAGTTGAATGGCAAGGAGGCCAAAGAGACCAGCTGTCAGGAGCCTAAGTCTCTCGATAAGGAGTCGCAGGGTTCTTTCCCAGTAATTCAGGGTACCACAGAGCCATTTGTTGACTTTGTGGCCCGAATGCAAGATGCTGCCGATAAGATATTTTCTGATCCGGGAGTGGCTCGACCGCTGGTAAGGCAGCTGATTTTCGAGCAATGTACAAAGGAGTGCAAGGCAGCGATAGCTCCTCATAAGAACAAGGACCTCAACGCCTGGATTAGGATATGCAGAGAGATAGGGGGGCCGCTCTCCAACTCGGGAGTGGCTGCTCTCCTGGCCGCGGCTGTACAGCAGAGGGGACCTCGCGGGTTAGAAGGGAAATGTAAGGCTAAAGGGTGTTTTGCCTGCGGGGAGCCAGGACACATTAAACGTCATTGCCCAAACAATGCAGATGCTAGGCCTCGCCCTAGGAATGAAGAACCATATGTTTGTGGGCGATGCAAGAGGGGATCACACAAAGCTGAGGAGTGTAGGTCGGTCTTTGATGCTCAGGGCAACCGTATTTGTGGACGAGATGCTAGAGAGCCAAAAAACGGCCAGAGGGGGCCCCCTTCACAGGCGGGCCCCCGCCCCAGAGACAGGACAGCTCAGGATGGCAGCCTTCAACAAGGGCCACCCCTGGGTCAGCAGGTGTGGACCTCAGTGTCGCCTCCAGACTTATATTAGTGCCTGATATGGGTGTTCAAGTGGTTGAAACCACCTTTAAGGGACCGTTACCCGAAAATTCCGTGGGTCTGGTGATCGGGAGATCCTCCACGGCCCTTCGGGGTCTCGTAGTAGTCCCGGGGGTCATAGACTCAGACTACACAGGACACATTAAAATTATGGTTCAATCTCTTGTGGGTACTATGGTAATCAATAAAGGAGACAAGATAGCGCAGCTCTTGCTGCTCCCCAGTCTCCACAGGAGATTTCCCTCAAAGCAGAAAATTAGAGAAAGTCAAGGTTTCGGTTCCTCAGGGGAAGTCTTCGAGGGACTCCATATAATACTTGATAAAAGGCCCATGCTCTCACTTAAGGTCAATGGCAAGAGTATAACAGGGCTCCTAGACACAGGAGCTGACCGTTCCATTATCTCTAGAAAGGATTGGCCCTCCAACTGGCCCACCAACACTGCAGATAACACGCTGCAGGGCCTGGGGATGGTGTCAGCTCCTCAGGTTAGTGCTTCAACCCTGCTCTGGTGCGATGAGGAGGGTCATCAGGGCCTTTTCCAACCATTTGTGTTGCAGTTGCCAGTGTCTCTATGGGGAAGGGACATCCTCACTCAGATGGATGTCACGCTTACGTCAAACTGCTCCCCCCAGGCTAAGGATATACTCAGGAACCAGGGATATACCCCCGGCAAAGGCTTGGGCAATGCCCTACAGGGTCGGACATCCCCAATACCAGTAGAGAACAAAAAAGGTAGGCAAGGGCTGGGTTTTTCTTAGGGGCCGCTGAAGAAGCTCTCCTACCCACTTCGATCAAAATCACCTGGAGGTCAAATGATCCGGTTTGGGTACCTCAGTGGCCCCTGCCTAAGGAGAAGCTATTAGCCTTGTCAGAAATAGTCAGTACACAACTTAGATTAAGACACATTAAGCCGTCAACCTCCCCATGGAACACCCCCATTTTTATAATTAAGAAAAAGTCTGGCAAATGGAGGCTGCTCCATGATCTAAGGGCAGTCAACGCGCAGATGCAGTCCCTGGGGGCGGTCCAGAGGGGGCTGCCAGCTCTCTCAGCCATCCCTCAGTCCTGGCCAGTTTATGTTATAGATCTTAGAGACTGTTTCTTCTCAATCCCCCTGCATCCAGAGGACACTCATAGGTTCGCCTTTACTTTACCCACCATTAACCAAGAAAGCCCTGATCTCAGATACGAGTGGATAACGCTGCCCCAAGGTATGGCCAACAGTCCCACTATGTGTCAGATTTACCTTGATTCCCTACTGGCCCCCCTACGGAAATCCTTTCCCAAGATAAGATGTGTGCATTACATGGACGACCTTTTACTCAGCGGCAGGGACCCAGACATGCTAAATAATATGCTCGGCCAGTTGGTCGAGGCCCTGAGACAAGCTAATCTGCATGTTGCCCCCGACAAGATTCAGGGAGGAGAAATGGTGACCTACTTAGGCGCGAAAATCTCCCCTATGCTAGTCTCTCCACAGAAGGTCACCATTAGGACGGATGGCGTTAAGACCCTAAATGACATGCAAAAGCTATTGGGAGACATTAATTGGATTAGGCCATATTTACATATACCAAATTCAGATCTCAAACCCCTGTTCGACCTTCTGAAGGGAGACCCAGATATAGCCTCCCACAGGAGGCTCACTCCTGAGGCAAGAGCTGCCTTACAGAGAGTGGAAAAAGCCTTAGGTGGGACTACCTTACACAAAATTGAACCAGGGCGACCCTTTGATGTCTGTTTGCTACAGACTAGTCTACAGCCCACAGCGGTGATTTGGCAGAAAGGACCATTACTGTAGATACACCCTAAGGTCTCACCTGCAAAAGTCATAGAGCATTACCCGGAGGCAGTCGCTTCATTGGCCCTTGAGGCGCATGATAGAGCTGTCCAACATTTTGGCTCAGGACCACAAGCCATCCGAGTACCCTATACCGCCAGCCAGATCAAGACCCTGGCTGCCTGCATAGATACGTGGGCCATTCTGAGATGTGTTTTCCATGGGGATATAAACAATCAATACCCTAAAGACCCTATCTTGTCATTTGTCACTCAGCACCCTATAATTTTTCCAAAGGTTACTGCCTCTGAGCCATTAGTCCCAACAACTACAATATACACAGATGGCTCCAAGACGGGGATAGGCGCCTATGTGATCCTAGGCAAGCCCCCGGTTACCATACAATTTAAACCTGATCAGCCTCAGGTGGTAAAACTGCAGATCGTTAAAATGATTCTTAAACGGTTCTCAGAAGCCATTAATATTGTCTCCGATTCTAGGTATGTGGTCAATGCTATGCAAGTGCTTGAGACTGCCGGTTTAATTAGATCCACTTCCACAGTGGCTGGGCTGTTCCTGTCTATCCAGACATTGCTTCAAAACAGACACCATAAGGTCTTCACCACCCACATAAGAGCACATACATCCCTGCCGGGGCCCATGGCACAGGGGAATGCGGTTGCTGATACTGCCACTCGCCCGTTATGGATTTTTACCTTACTAACACCAATCGAGCGAGCCCGTGCCTTCCATGATAAGTTTCATGTCAATGCCAGGACACTAGCAAACCATTTCCATGTTTCCAGAGCAGATGCACGAGATATCGTGCGACTATGTGACTCCTGTGCCACATACAAACCTGCCATACCGATGGGAGTAAACCCTCGAGGTTTGATCCCTGGTGATGTTTGGCAGATGGACATCACACATATACAGGAGTTTGGGACTCTTAAATATGTTCATGTTTCCACAGACACCTGTTCTCACGTCATATTCGCAACAGCAGAAACAGGTGAAAAAGTGTCTAATGTGATCAATCATTGCCTGGCGGCTTGGGCCGCATGGGGCAAACCAAAAATATTAAAAACTGATAATGGACCAGCCTATATAGGCAAAGCCTTCAATGAGTTCTGCAAAATGATGGAGGTTCAATTAAAACATGGTATCCCATACAATCCCCAAGGTCAAGAAATCATTGAGAGGGCTCATAGAAGCCTCAAAAAAATTTTACAAAAACAAAAAGGGGGAGTAGGCCAAGGCCTGGCCCCAAAGGCACGATTATCCATGGCACTATTCACACACAATTTTTAAAATTTAAATAATGATAATTGCTCCCCAGCCGTGGAGCACTGCAACCCTTCCCCCCAACCATAAAGGGTGGGTGAAGTGGAAAGATGTCCTGACAGGACAATGGATGGGCCCGGATCCAGTGGTCAGCTGGAACCGAGGCGCGGTTTGTGTTTTCCCACAGGAATCGGGACGAGAACCACTGTGGGTACCGGAGAGACTGACACGGGCGACAAAGCCCTCGACTGAAGATCAGACCTGCCCTACTGGAGATCCATCACAGACCAACCAACAAGATGAATAAAAATAGCGGTAGCCCAAAATGGACAAGAAGATCCTCAGGCATATGCATGGCTCGCTCGCCTAGCCTACGACCGAGTCTAGGGGTGGTGAGCTTCCCACACTCCTCCTCTAAAAAATTATGACATAGCTGGGTAGGAGAGTCAATGACGGGTAAGAGCGTACTCCCCCGGTGCGACTCAACCTAAGCCAGGCCCTACCCCATCCTGCACGTAAGCCGCTGGACTGTTAGATGCTGCCCAGGTCTAAATTTCTCTCCGAGGGGATTTCTTTACGGAGAGGAAATGAGTGCAAGCTTGTGTGCATCCAGGTTCCGTCCAGTTTGTGCCTGGCCCTAGAAAAAGGACGAGGGCCTCAGGGCCTTGGCGGACCATGGGACGGCCGACCAGGGTCTAAGCCAAGGACCTACGGTGGGCCTACACATAGGGCATAAGCCTCTGCACCCAGTCCAGGAAGGGCTACGATGCGCACATTCATAAAAAATAAAAAAGGGGGAGATGTTGGGAGCCGCAGCCCCGAGCCCGGTCGCCTTACTTGGCGGACGTGAGGCCTGTAGTAAAGAGTAAAGCCTGAGGTAGATTACCCCTCCCATCGAGCACGTTAGTTTCCTGCTTACCGCGTAAGCAACCCGCTCAACAATATAGTCTGCCTGGCAACTGATGATGTTAGCCAATCAGCTTGCCTTGCTTACTTTAACATGATTGGACACTGTATCCGTATATATACTGGTGCCACCCCTGGGGGGGAAGAAGAAGCCCGGAAGTAGAAGCCCAGAAGGAGCCGCGGGGAGCGGACCAAAGGAGGCTTCGGCTGGGAGCGATCCCAGGGCAGGCTGTACGGAGAAGGAAAATAAAAAGAAAAGGTTGTCCACTGCCAGACTTTGTCGTGTGTCCTTCCTGCCGGCCAGGAGCGACATCGACAAATGGGCATTTGGGATGCACTGAAATCCAAATCATAGCAAGGCCTTTTGTCATCTAGAAGAACTTCATCTCTCAGTGAGCCTGCTCCGAGCGACCTTCGGAGACCTCCCTTTCCAGGCAGGACAGGACCACTGCGGTGACCGGAGTGGAGTGTTTGTTTCCTCCAAGAGAAGCAGACTCTCATAACACCAATGGGTGAACAGTTTCTCTGAGAGCAAAGCTTGCTTGGTAGGAAGAGCCCTTGCTTTTTCCTTCCTGTGCAGGAGGCACAGGTCAGGATCCAGGTGGAAAAAATCACTGGAGGGGGAGCCCAACCCATGTGGCACTTTTTGGCTCTCACTCCTGCCCATATGTAGCCTACAGGAATTCCAGATAGTTCTGCTCAGGTCAGCCATGATGGCCCACATCTAGCTGGCCTTCTCTCTCTCTCCATTTCAAGGGCCAGCAATTTGCTGTGTGACCTCACATCTCAGCCACTTCCCTGTCACACTGACAAAGTCCCAAGGACCACAGTTGGAAGGAGAACAGGTTCCTCGGTTCACATGTGACTTCAGAATAAAGTTGGTCAGATGCGAGGCTCCAGTGCATGGCGGAAGGTGAGGGGAGGGCAGTCTGGTCCACCAGTGCCTTCCAGAAAACCAAGAGGGAGAAAGGAGGAGCAGGGGTGCAGCTCGGAGATCCAGCCCCAGCCCCATCCAGGCCGCACCTCCCAATAGTGCCTTCACCAGGAGCCCGACAGCAATGCAGGCGCGGATGACCAGGAGAACACTCTCTCCAGGGAATTAGTGACACCTCAGAAGACTGAGAGCAAATTGGGACATTTATGAGGCTTTGGGGACCTGGCCCTTCCTCCACAATGCAGCTGGGGCAATTGGCAGAAAAAGCTGTCAGATTATGCTACATGTGTCCAACATCTCTTCACTGTTTTCCATTTTGTCAAAGTAAACATTTCTCTTTTACCCTTCCTGCCCTCCCCTCCCTTGCCCTCTCCTCCTCTTCTCTTCTCTCTTTCTTTTCTTCCCTACAAAACCTGCCCTGATCCAGCTATGTATCAGTTCTCCTGCTGGATCCCATCCGTGGGGTGGATACCAGCTCTTCCTGGAATGTAGGCTCTGTGCACAGCACACACACATTCCTGACCTTCCTCCCTTGTCTATTTACACTCTATGTATTTTAAGTATTTACCTGCTTTATTCTTTATTTCCTTTCATTTAAATATAGGTTCTATGAAGACAGCATTGGAAAATACATTCACATGAACATTTTACAATACTTTCACATGGAATGAGCCCTCCACCAAAGAATGAAGCCATGCTTAAGCCTTGTCTTTATTATTACAAAATAATAAATCAACACTATAAAGTGGATGGAATTGATCCTTTTGCTGGTTTTTATGGTGCCTCTCTTGTGATCCTCAGAGGCTCTAATAAGAAAGGCTTTATGGTGCCACCAGGATTTCATCTCATTTGAGTGGCAGATCTTAGAGCAGAACTTGCTATTAAACAAGTAACAAGTTTTGATCTTGGCATCTTCTCCTGGTCTTTCCTAGGGGATCTGTGGACCATTCAGAGTCACCATTTCCCTGGGGATAGGCTTTTCTCACTTGCTTCACCTCTCAGCTCCAAGTAGAAAAGACACGGAAAGGGAGAAAGGTCTTAAAGAAGGAAGACAGGAAATGGGCATCTGTAGGACATTTGCGTGGGCACTGACCTTACCCAGCTCTGATGCCTCCAGGAAGGATGCGTGGATGGGTCTGAAAGGGGATGCCACGCACACCAAGATGACTGGTAAGGTGACTGATGGGGAAGAAAAGGATCATTAGCAGCCTGCAGCTTCCACCACAGTCTCAGTAGCTTGGGGTGAACTCTGCGCTGTCTCTTGAAAGATCAGACTGAATGTTGGTGTCTGAGTATGACAGTTGGAAGAGGATTTTTATAGCTTTTATTTTCTTTGTACATCCAATAGTTCTGTTTATAATATTATAAGTATACATTTCTGCTTTTCTAAAAATAAAATTTCTCTATTGCTTTGATTGGAAAGATGTATGAGGCATACACACACACACACACACACACACACACACATACACACACATGCACACACAGACGCACAGACACACACACAAAAGATACCTGTTTCAGGCACGACTGCTTTGTTTCATGGTATTGCATCTGCCTTATTTTGATGGATGCAATTTCTTTCACACTGAACAAAAAAATTAGCCACTGACCCTGAAATGAGGCCCAACTCCAACCTAAATGTCAACAGAAACAAAGAAATGCCAGTTCTCAAGAAAATTTCACTCATGAATCTTAAAAGTGAAAATGATGTCCTTTGATTTTTAAAGGTGTTCTAATCTCTTTCACCTTTATTATTTTATAACCTTTAATATTCTAAACAATAAGTTTGCAGTAGTTTCCATTGGTCAGATTCTGACAAAGAAATCTTATGAATATTGATCATTTATCATTTTACCACTTTAGCAATAGTAGGGTGATTTCTAGAACTAATTCCAAGACAGTTAACTGATCTTCCAGATATTCTCACTGGGTTCTTTAGTAAGGACTCCATTGTTGAATTTTTATTTTTTTCAACATTGCTTTCCTAACTAGATTAGTAATCTGGTGATTTAAGCAACGGTCTGGACTAAGAACAACATTCTAAATTTTACGATGTCTCCTAAGGCTGTAGGATAGGAGAATATAAAGAAGAACCTCAATTACGAGTTCCTATAGAAGGAGGAAATACAGGCATATAACCATAAGCTATTTTCAAGTTAGATTTATTTTAATTAATAGACTATGCATGCAATGTCCTTCCACATCCTTTTCAACATTCCTACTAACATACGAAGAACAAAGGGGTATTACATTCCTTGTTACTGTGTATATGAAACTAATGACCCTGCTGGTTCTCATTAGTAATCTTGGGGCATTTTTGATCTACAGTTGGTAATTGATAGAAAATTGTATTAAAATGTTAAACCAAAAGCATGACAAGAACAAAACTTTAATCAGTAAACTTGACTCTTGAAGAGTTTTAATCAGTAAACTTGACTCTGAAGAACTAACACTAAGAGTTTATAAGAGTCAGACAGTAGGTTAAATATTTTTTGTGCCTTGTCCTGTTTAGAAGTCACAATGCAGCTGATCTGGGATTGGAATCTAGGTGCAAGTCTGAACTCCAGCAGCTAAGCGCTGGGACACAATGTGGGCGATGTTACATTTTCCAAAACAGTCTCTGCTTCTCTGACAGGTGTCTTCCCACCTCCCTGGCTTTGGGATTGGATACAGCATTGGCTTTGGCAAATGGACCGAGGAAAGCAGCAGGAGCAGTTTCCAAACAGAAGACACCGAGCCACCACATGGCTCTCTACCTTTTAAGATCCCTTCCCCTCCCCTCAGGCCTAACAATGTGTCTAGGGGGTCTCTTCCCACAATCAGATCTCCTGAGGAGGTGCCACCCCACAGAACTCCAGGAATGAGGACCAAGTGTTCCCTGCCATATACCCTGACACCTGGGATGAGGGTGGCCTGACACAGCTGTCACCTACACAGTACTGCCTGTGCTTCTGCACCTTCCTGCTGCATGTAGAGAATTTTATCATTCTCATTTCTCTTTACTGCAAATAAACCGCAACAAATCAAAATTTTCTTCCCTGCAAAACATTCTGAATACACCATAAAATCCTTTGGTAAGCTCTGTGAATATACAACGTAATTAAATTAGGAAGGCATGAGATTATAAAATGTCCACTCTGGGTGGATGCCATACAGTGCATATCAAGTAGAAAAGCAAACACTTTTTCAGAGATCATTTTCCATTATATCTGCTAATAATACCTCTCCTGGTACTGGCTAAACCATTTAAACTTACTTGGCAAGCACATTTTAAAACAGATTCTGTTGACAGGTGCAGCTCCAAGGACTGCTTCATCTTCAGTGAAATTACACTGCTCTCCCACGCACACTCCTTCCTTTGAAATGCTACGTACACCCACTGCCGTCCGGATGCTTTTATTGTCAAGTGACTCATCTAGTTTTTAATCTCATGGCCTTTTCAGTGGGATGGGAGAATCACAGGAATTAGGGATAGAAATGATCAACGACTTTTGAATTTACATTTTTGTCCTAAAAGGCAGTGGGCAGCTTTCTAACAATGTAGTTGAATAAGAAAGGCTAGGTCAAAACACTCTGCTAGAAAATCAGCTACCTATAGACCTAAGTGTGGGTGTGCACGTAATTTGGAAGGGTTGCTTGGTAGATACCTATGATTTTTAAAAATATTTAATAATTCAGTCTCTTTTGGCTCAGCATGTATCCATTTAGTTGTTTTGATTAAAATCTATTTTAAAAACAAATTTCCCACTTGCCACCATTTATGTGTCTGGGAAGTGACTTATCGCTCTGCTAATTGAACTTTGTTTCTCATCCTTTGTTGAACATTCCCTGCTAGCTACTGCTTTGCAGATCTGACTTAAAATTGACCTGTGAGCACGTTTCTAGATGAGATTATTGCTTCTGTGGTCAGAGAAGCCATATATCATATGCCTGTATGCAGAGTTCCAGCTCAATGTGAATAGGTTTTTAGATTATTACTGTATCCCCCTCTTGGTTGGCTAACCTGGCAAAAGCAGTTTGTAACCTCTTAAGCTATGGCTTGCAGCAGCACACCAATCTTTTGGCAGATGTTTGCAATAAAATTGAAACCAACAAGGGTGTGGGCTTGGTCATGTTGGTAAAACTAAAAGTTATGTGATGCTTCCCCAGCAGCAGATTCTGCCACTTTAAATGTTTACTTCATGGTTAAATGTGGTAAAAATGGTTCTAAGATATTCCTTAAGAAGGAATAGACATTACACCAATGAAAAAGGTCAAGTTTTACTATTGACCACATTCCTATTCTTTTGTGAGGTATAATGTGGGGTGGAATATTGGATTTACACATGATA